ATTAAATACATACCTGCATAGGTGGGCTTTATCTTCCCATCCTTAATATCCTGTAGATATTTTGGGCAGCTTCGTTTCCAGTGGCCCTTCTGGTGGCAATAGAAGCACTCTGCTTCCTTGGGGTCAGAAGAGGGCTTAACAGAACCTGCTTTGGTCCCACTAGAAGAGGAACCATCTTGGGTCTTACCCTTATGGTGGCTCTTAGAAGGAGCCTTCCTCTTCTTTCCCTTTCCTTGGCCAATTGCCAACACAGGAGCAACTACAGTAGAGGATGATGATGCAATAGATTTGTCCTTGAGGTTGCTCTCAGCTGTCCTCAGGAGCCCTTGAAGTTTACTCAGGGTGACCTCTTCTTTGTTCATATGGTAGGTCATTCTGAACTGGTTGTAGCAGGAAGGCAAGGAGTGGAGGATGATGTCGATAGCCAAATCCTCATCAAACTTAACATTAAGTTTGAGAAGACGATCAACATACCTTTGCATTCTTTGCAAATGAGCAGTTAGGGATTCTCCACTCCCCATCCTAGCGGTGATCATGTTGGTGATGATCTCATAGCGCTCTTGCCTCGCGCTCTGGTGGTACCTGTCCAGCAAATCTTGGTGCATCTCATATGGATACATGTCCTCATAGGACTTTTGGAGTTCGAGGTTCATGGTGGCCAACATGATGCAATGAACTTTCGTTGCATCACGCTCGTGGGCCTCAAAGGCGGCCATCTCTTCAGGAGTAGCTTCTTCTGGGTTGATCTTTTCTAGCTTCTCGTCGAGGACATATTCTTTGTCCTCGTAGCGAGTTATCATGCGAATGTATCTCATCCACTCGTTGAAGTTCGAGCCATCAAATGTCACCTTTTGACATAGGTTCATCAACGAGAATGACCCAGAAGTGTTGTTGTTTGCGTTTGCGTTAGACATCTGAAATAGAAAGGAACAAAGTTTGATTAGAAATGAATCCCCAATTAAACACCCAAATGAGAAATTAGGGCTAGGATCCAACAACATTATTTACAACTTAGAAAAGGGATGCCGTAATCTAAAAGTAAATAATTTGAAGGTAAGTGAATGACGATTCACTAATTCTCACCATGAAAAACGAAAAGAAATTAAGTTTTAAATGTATTTGAAAATTCCTAGATTTCTTTTGAGATTCATTGAACATTTCAATGGCATGTTTAAATCTCGATATGCACTTCAAATTTGCGACTGGGATGCCGAGGATCGCAAAAAAGTTTGTGAATAACCATGCGAATCAACATGGTGCACTCAATGTCTTCATCACCTAATCAATGTGCTGGTTAGCCACGCACGCTCCATTGATCTATGATAAAACATCGAGCCACCCTTTGTCACCAATGTCAATCCCAAATTAGTGTGCCGGTTAGCCACGCACGCTCCACTAACGTTTGACAGGGGTACAAAGTGTAATTCCATGGAATAACATCATTTTCACATTTTACCCTAAAGTAACTAAGATGGGAATTTGAAAAACATTGTAGTTACTTTGCAATATTCATTATACTTATAATGAGGAATTAAGTGCCCTATCCTATCCGTTCGGCTAACGACCCTCCACCAGTCAAGCAAGCGGTGGATGTGAGTGTACACCCATTAAGCGCATTTTATAGGCAGCAACCTTATACCCACCTTATAGACTGGCTTCGTGAATGAGGCCTACTAGCGATAAGACTAGCTTATTCTTATACATATATATTAATTAATCTTGTAATAATATAATAGTATAGGGTTGAATTTTAAACTTGTAAAATTCTAAGGATTTGAAATTTAAATCATTCAAAATTAAACTTTTAATCGTAAAAATTAAATTTCAAAACTTGAGGACAAGTTTTGAACTTTTCAAAACACAAGGGATCAAATAACAAATAATATAAATTAAACAATTCATTTTATGATTATCTATATTTGACCTAATCCAATTTTAGTCACAAGATAATTACCAAATAATTCAAATAATCCATATTTATCATATAAAGAAACTATTATTCAAAAGATTTGAAATTATCTTTTGTTTTGGCAGGGATAATCATTCAAATATAAGAAAATTCGGATTTTATCTTCAAAAAACGATTTAGGCATTAATCCCATGACAAAACAGCAACAAAATCCCGAAATATCCTCTGCCTGATGCACAGACTCGCCGAGTCGGGCCAACTCGCCGAGTCCAGATACTGACTCGCCGAGTTGAGTCGGGCAAAGGCAAGAAAAACGATTCTCAGCAATTAAACAGTTAAAGCATCACATACAACAGAAACCAATCAAGGCTCTGATACCACTGATGAGTTTTAGGCATAAGAACAATCATATGTGCTCATACAAACCCTAATGCTTGGATCTAGGTTTCTCTATTGTACATGCATTGAATCCAAGACTTGCAAACCCTAATCTAGCATACATAATTCGAAAATTAACTTAATACATCAGATCTAGATGTTTACCTCTTCAAAGATTGGCTTAGATCTTCTTTTCTTCTTCTCTTGAGCTTAGAGTCACAATTGTAACTCCTCTAATGGATCACAAACACCTCAAGCAAGAAGGCAACTTTAAGAGAGGAGGGAGGATGCTAATTTTCGGCCCTAGGGTTTCTCTTGGGAACAAGTGGTCGAAAATTGGAGTCTTGGGGTCTCATTTATAGTGCAGGCTGCTAGGGTTTCAGTCTAAACCCTAATGGATACCTTAGCCACCAAGTAGCCCAAGGAACCTTCTGGAATAGGGCCCTTGGACGAAAATATGATGATCATTCATCATAATTTCGTTCCCCCTTAGTCCATTAGGTTTCCCAGCCCAAAACTCAACTATCACACATTTGACAGTTTATGCCCCTTTATTTAATTAATCTCTTTTAGTCACCAAATTAATTCCTAATTAATTTATGACTAATACTAATTAAATAAATATGATTTCTCCTTTAATATATTATTCTTATAATATATTAATAAACCATAATATCCTCTCTCTCATATCAAATTACCTTGTCAAGTTGCTTTGGTGAAGGCAACCCAAAAGGACCATGCATAACCGGGTCAAGTACATACCAAATATAGTTACGGGCTTAGACACTAATCCAACAACATCTTCATTCACACTAGGATAGTTAACTCTTGTTAAACTTTTCCATATGATAAATCTACTAAAAGTATCTTGCATATAATTGAATAATAATTGAATACAATTATGGCTAGCTTACATATAATTGAATAATAATTGAATACAATTATGAGATTATGATAAGTTTAACTTTTTTTTTCTTTTCTAAAACATACTAAAGTTCTTGTCTTAATATCAACACTATTTATTTATTTAATATAATAATTATCTTTAATATGGATTAGTTGTATATGTATATAGGATTTCCATATGTTAATATTAAATAATAAGATCAAATTTTTAATTGAACACATAAAGTTCTAATAGTCGCTTAGTTATTACACAACATTATATAAGAGGTTATTTGATGCTTATCACTCTTTTCATCTTAATTTCATCTTATTCAAACATTCTTGAATCCAACTTATTTTATTTTATTTTGTAATGTATTTAAGCACATATCTTTTGTATAAAACTCAAAGGTAAATATATATTGGATTACAAAAATCTTCTTTACGTGGAACCTAATTACTTATTGTCTTACGAAGTTCTCATATTAAATTTTGGACTTTCACAGATAGCATATGCAAAATAAAAGTAGTTGATTTTTTTTTTCAATTTTAGTTTTGGTATCTCTTTTTTCGCAGACTGAGATTTTTGCAGGTAGCCAAATTTAAAAATCATGGCAATTTTTATCAAGTAGTTAATTTTTGTGTAAATCTTAGAAAGTGAGTAATGGGATTAGCTTGATTTGTATTTTTTCATATTTAACTATCAATCTTAATCACCCACTTGAGCTTAACTTTTAAGTATGAACACTATTCTAAATACCTAGTACACTTAAACTTTGATACCAAATGAAGCATCCCTCATATGGACTAGAATTGTTTTGGTTATATTTTTGATAATATTTAAACTTCTACAATAAGTGTTGCATAAGTGAGGTTTTAAATGGTTAAATAATTAACATCTTTAAATTGGTCAGGTCCTACGTGTGAAACAATTGAATCAAAAGCAATAGTTAACATACATAAAATTTGCATGCAATTAACTCTAAATTTACAACGTCTTTAAATATCCAAAAACTAATATTTCAATAATCGATTCACTAATTTTTCAACAAGTACATATTAGAATAGTAAAGTTATGACTTATGAGTCTAGTGAGTAAGCCAAAAATTGAAATTTTGAATGGAATTGGATAATGACAATAATCCAATTACAAAAGACAAACATCTAAAATATTTTACAATACTATTTTTCAGATTTTAGATGTTAGTCGTTCCGTTCAATCCCAAAGCAGTCCGGTCCATTTCTAAAGGTCCTAAATGAATATTAACATCTAAATAATTCTTCCAAATCTTTAGAAACAATGATTAAATAAGATCAATGATTCATGTGCGGTGATTTAACGGTTTAGAACTCTCAAAAAGTTGATTATGACAATAGATGTTACTTGAACTTCAAAATGAATTAAAATCCTCAAATCAAACTTAAATCATCATCCCACATGAATCAAACAGGCCTTGCAAACTAGATATATGGTGTTTTTGTGAAGTTCCAACATACCACATGTTACAGCAAGTCATTGAACAACCTATAACTCCATCAAAACTCTTAAGCAAGTTGAAAATCTCAAACTATTATATAAATGATTATGTATATAAATGATAGTTTCATTAGATCAAAATGAGTCTAGGAACTCAAACTAATGCTAATTCAAGTATCAATTTCATATGAAAAGTTCCAAATTCTAATTTCCCCGTTGTTGGAGCTTTGAAGCTCCAAGATAACATCCAAACTCAACGCCAAACAATGTGAGTGTGAAATGAAAATGTAGTGACTAGTGACTGAACCTTCAAACTAGAAGAAAGAAAAAGCCGAACACAATGATACCAGTCTCAACACAGAACTTTATTAGACTTAGACTCACAGACACAAGCCATTATCAATAGCCATGCCAACAGTTCTTCAAGATAACAAGTTACAAAACCACGAAAATGCTACATGTTTACAAGAAATGAAAAAGATACACCTAGCCACTAGTCCTGAACCCATCATTCTCCTTGCTCAAAACCTCAATTCGTGACTGAAGAATGTTGATCATGGCTTGGGCTCGCATCACTTCAATCTTCAAAGTCTCTTTCTCCATTGAAACATTAAGAATCTCATTCTCCAAGTTGTTTATGAACTTTAGATACCCCGGAGGCACAGATTTCTCGAGGGTAGAAGCGTCAAAAGATGGCAGAGTTGTTGGATGGTGACATTGTTTGGCTTCAATCGACTCGAGCAGAGGGAACTCCAAGAGAGCTCTTCTTGGATCTTGACTTGTTGTGGTTGAATCTTCTGAACCATTTGCATTGCTTGAGTTTGGATCACATGGCTTTGATCTCTTGTTGTGGAACAAAGAGAATGTTTCAAGTTCAGGTTCACAATCCAAAGGACAATCTTCAGATCTTTCCCTTTTGCAAACAAATGGAATTGTTTGAGGTTCCTCGATTTCATCAACAATCTTTTTGGTAGAATCTTCCTGCAGAAACAAAACAACCATACGACATTTTTGTTAAATACATATATACAGACAGATGGGATTAGGACTACTGTGTCTAGCTGATGTAGGACACACTAACACGCAGGCTCTAATACCATGTTAGTAAGATATGTAAATCTTGACTCTTGGTATCAAATTTACAAGTCAATGAACAAAACAATAATACCTGCACAATGTCATTTCCATGGACACGTGTCTCATCACCATTGGCCAAATCATCATCGGCTTCACCACCGGGAACCATGAGGGCGGCATCATCGGTCCATTCTTCCTCAAGAAACGGTGCATAACGGTCCCCATTCGGTGGGCCCAACCCACTCTTTTGAAAAATCCTGCATAACACAAACGAATCCTTCTCCCCGAAAAACAATAATCATATCAAAAATCTTGAAATGGACATATTCACAATTCACATTACACAATACACATATAGATATAGATAAATGAATTCTTCAAACCTGTGCTACTCCTGCACGCAACAATTCTTGATCCAAAAGCCGGTATTCATGCATGACCCAATTGGTTCTCTTCCCATCTGGGGCCCGCCCACTATGGAACACGAGTGTTTTCTTCATCCCGATTGTCTCTGATTTATGGCGGACGGATCGATCTTTTCCGGTTGCTTTCCAGTAACCTTTTCCGGTTGCACGGTTCAACCGTGACCCGTTCCCATACTTTCTATCTACAGGGCTAAAGAAGTACCATTCTAGGTCTCTTGTCTTCAATGGTGAAAAGTCTAAAAGATCCATGAAAATTACACAATATCAACAACATATTTCTTCAATATACAATCTAGATATGTCATGTGTTGAAGATTTGTACACCAAAATATAGGTCAAAGTCAAACAAGTGTACATAAATCCTAATACGACCCCTTGACGCAAATAATCAAACCCATAAAACCTAACATTTAACATGTTCATAACTTCATATATGAATGCACCCCAGTTTTTCTGGGTCACTGGTTATTGATTTCTTTTTTAACTTTTGTTAAAAAAGAAAGTTAGTGATATGTAATTGAAATAGCCATAGGCAATTACAGTGAAGTGTATCAAATTTATGAAGAATAAAACTCGATTTTCTTGAAAATTTGGGGCAAATTCAAAGAAGACATTTTTCTTTATTCATGTACCCCGGGTTTTCTGGGCAAGTCTGCATCTTTTCATTCTGTTCATATTGGTTGACAAGAAATTGAAAACGTAATGTCAAAAGTAATTGCAGAAATGATTGAAATTCATGTAAATTACTCAAAATTTTGCATAAAGTTTTGATGAATAAAATCCAAAAACAAAGAGATGAAAAGCAATCACACCAAAAGCAAAAGATAATATCCAACCACAAATCCCCCACCAAAACCTCATAGAGATTTATACCGGCAAGTTCCCATGGCTCAGATTTGTAGACGTCGATTTCCGACACCGCCTGAAACCGGAACGGCTTGCCACACGCCTTTCGCCTTAAATAGTACATCACAAGCTCTTCATCTGTGGGATGAAACCGAAATCCAGGTGCAAGAGACGTCGGCGGTGGTGGAGCTGGGGTTGCCGCAGCCGCTGACGGCGGTGCTACGCCGATCAGTTCATGACCCATATCTGATTTTTTTCGATCTATAACAAAAATCGAACTTCTGGGTGTCTGTTGTTCGGATTGAAAAGAGGATAAAATAGCTTAAAAACAAGCCATTAGAATCAAGATTGTAGGTGAAGGAAGTGAGACACAGTTAACTGACGGATATCAATTGCCCGTGGGTTAAGAAACCTCCGATCAATGGATGCTTGCTGGACACGGAAATCGAAAACGCTAGAAGAGAAAGTTATGAAAATATGTATAATGTAATATATATGTGTGTGGTAGTGGTGCTCTTTACTTCCTTGGTGAGTTTTTCTTTTGCTTCAATTTGGGGTTTTTGATAAGATTTTGTTACAGATCTGTCACTTTCCCCAAACTTATCATTATTTCTACAGAAAAGAAAAAAATTAAACGATCATGGTCATAGTTAGTCATTATATTTTTTAAATTGTGAATTTCTTTTGTTATTTAATCACTTTTAAATATTCTTAAAAAAATCACTATTATTTAAGATAATTTAATTATATTGGTTATTATTAATCATTAAACGTTTTTTTATATTTTTATTTGATCTTATAACTTAAATTTTTTTTTACATGTTTTTTCAAAAATTATTTTTATAACTTTTTTATATATGTTTTTACTCGTTTTTATAACATTATTTTTTATCATTTTTAAAGTTTTCTTAATATTTTTTTTGCAACTTCATTTTTTATCTTAATATGTTTTTTTGAAATTTATTTTTACAATTCATTTTTTACTTTATTTTTGCATGTTGTTTTACAATTTGTTTTTATAACTTCATATATTTACTTTGTTTTTACATTTTTTTTATAGTTTATTTTATAATTTTTTAAATGATTTTTCACAATTCATTTTTACAACTTTAGCTTCACAAATAAAAAATAGTAAAATTGTAAGAATAAATCATTTAAAAACGAAATAAAAAATAAAACTATAAAATGCGATTGTGAACAAAAATATATGTAAAAACAAAGTAAGAAATAAACTTGTAAAAAAAGATCATAAAAAACATGTAAAAACAAAATAAATAACTAAAATTATGAAAATTGATTATGAAAAAACATAAAAAAAAAGTCGTAAAAAACATATAAAATGAAATATAAAGTTAAGTTGTAAAATTATATTATATAAACATAAAAATTATATTATATAAACTATATATATATATATATATATATATATATATATATATATATAGTGTGTGTGTGTGTGAGAGAGAGAGAGATAATGTGTGTGTGTGTTGACAATGTTATTTTGTAAGAATGACTAACAAAATTTGTTGTTTGATAATGTGAATATGTTCAACCTCATTTGACTATTATCATTATCACACATTTTCACTAATTAAATCGTCCATAAGGGTATTATGGATTTTTTTTATGATTATCATTCTGCCAGAATGTGTTCTTGATAATCGTATTCTGTAAAAATAACGATGTGTGAGAAAACAAAAATAAATAAGAATCAGTGAGAATGCATGATAATGACTAATTTAAGTAACTTTTTAAAAAGTTGACTTATAAGTTAGCTTATATGTTATTTTTTGGCTTGCTAAACATGACAACTTAATTTTTTTTTGAAAAATAAGCTAATTTATCAGTTAGTTATGATACGCCAAACAGAACCTAAACATCTTATGTTTCATTCGCTATAGCATCATTACATGAAAACAAAGAAAAAAAAGATATATAATAGAATTTCATTAATAAAAATGTATTGTGATTTGAATATATTCTTTAAAAAAAACATATATTATTATAATACTAGTTTCATTTGTTTAATATGTATTAATATTAGAGATTTTTACAAATGAGTATCTATAAGGTAGTATAGAGGTGAACATTTGAACATTTGGATTAGACCGGTCCAGGAACCGGACGTGGACGAGGACCCGATAAGCCTCAACAGATCCAGTCCAAAGGTCCACCAAATTATGCTAAACCGGTCTAATCCAAGAGTCAGTTTGGTATATATGCTCCACCCTATAGTCATAATAGATAAACTAACTTTGGATAAGGCTTCAATGAGTTGTACCGTATGCACTTAAAGTTGTATCGAGCCAACGGATATAAGGACCGAAAAACCCAGATCTGGACCAGTAAGTCTTAACATGTCTGCTCTAAGATCCACCAGTTTCTGCCAAACCGATCTAGTCCAAGAGCAGGTTCGGTTCGGTTTTGTCCAAATGTTCACTCCTAAGATAGTATGTCAATATAAAACCATTTCTTTTCTAAATTTAACAAAAATAATCACCCAGATAAAAAAAATATGAGTTTGTGAAGTCGATGAAACTCTTTTTCAAACATAAATCATCACCAACAAACATTAATTGATAAATTTATTGATTCGTAATGAATATTTATGATAGATTCAACGGACCCATCAAATAAAGGTCGCTAAGACTGGAGAGAGTGGTGTCACACTCCCTCATTTTGCTACACTCCTTTGCCACACACAAAAAGCGGTATACAATGAAAAAAGGAAAGAGAAAGAAAAGAGAGATAGAGAGAGGGAGAAGAGTGAGATAGAGATGAGCACTCCTTTTTTTGCCGCACACCCCAAACCGCATAGGAGGGATGATGTTCACTGCGGTAAGACATGCCACGTAGGATCTTATCGCACTCCACTCCCTCAAGTCTAAAACATATACGAGACATATACTCTCTTGCGAGTAGTTATTTTTGTTTATTCCTGTTCACCATGCACTAAGGATCCATTATCGCTAAAAAGTGACAAGGTAATATTATTATATCTTCAAAGGGTTTGGAGATTGTATCTTTAGATACTTGTATTACATGCTATGTGATTTTTAACATCTTTCGAATTGTTGGTCGTTCGTGATGATGCCGATTCAATTGTGTTTCTATATAATAACATATACCTATCTCGTTATCAGGTCAGTATCAATAGTGATGATGTCGATTCAATTGTGTTTCTATATAATAACATATACCTATCTCGTTCTCAGGTCAGTATCAATAGTTTATCGGTGATGATTTATGTTTGTAAAACATTACCATAGTCTGAAACGTATGAGATAAGAGGGGGTAGGATGGTCGACAACCCCCAATGTAATTGAGAATGCTCCGACATGGTCAGGAGCAATAAATATGAATTTTACTTGTAATAAATCATAAAGTTTCCCCAAAATACCTATTACTAACTTTTTGCGAGACCAATTCATTTGTGGTTGCTTTATATATAATATATACATAGATTACCCTGAATTATGTTTGCTAGTCCCTAGTTGTTGCTAATGTTGACTATTCATATCATATCGAGTCATTTTATTTTTGTTTATCAACAAACATATCATTAGTGATAACCAAATATTAATACGATGGTGCGGATATTGCCAAGTATTTTAATAAAACTTATATTTTCCAAGGAGAAATTAAATATCCTCTTACATTTTAGTCTTATTATCCTCTACCCACATTAAATAGTGATAAGTGGACTAAAATATTATCAATTTCATTAAATGTGTCATTAAATGTGACACTTGTCAACATTTGATATGGTAGGAAGATAAGTAAGAATAAAAAGTAGGAGTATATTTAATTTCTCTTTTCCAAGATATAGCCGGTTCTCAAAAAGTTTGTAATTGTTTAATTTTTAAGTATTGCAATAATTATTTAAAAGACACTCTCTTACATAACAAAAAATTAACAAAAAAATATGACAGACAAAAACCAACTAAATAAATCGAGTACAATTTTGTTTTATCTCGTGACATAAAAGTTAAATAAAAACAAATTTCAAACTTTAGTTTAATAAGATTGATAAATTATGAGGAAAAGGTTTTGTTTGTGGTTGAAGGATTTGACCATGAAGTTGGAAGTCATCTTTAATGAAAGCAAATGCTCATTTATTTATGCCCACAAACACTTTCTTCTAAACCAAACACACTTCACACTTCACAACACACCACTCTCTTTCCATTTGCTTTCTTGTGGAATATGATTAGAGTGACTGATTATTTGAAAGATTTTAACTTTAGATTTGTAAATAGTGTGATAATTATCTACGAAAAAGACTTCCAATCTGAATAAATTATTCGAACACTTGATCCAAATTCTTTATAATAATAATAATGAGTGAGTTTTCTCTCTCTCTCTCTCTCTCTCTCTCTCTCTCTCTCTCTCTCTCTCTCTCTCTCTCTCTCTCTCTCTCTCTCTCTCTCTCTCTCTCTCTATATATATATATATATATATATATATATATATGTGTATGTGTGTGTGCGCGCAAGCGCTATTATTTATATAATCTTTTGGTTCGCTTAGGTTGAAGGGAGTGGCTCGCCACCTCCCTTCGCTAAGCCCTCATTAAAAACTCGTTACCACTCCTTGTGGCTCGCTAAGGACATGTGCTATAATTGTCTTGCTATTTTCTTGACGAGAGGAAAGAGAAAACAAGTGGTCTCATTAGATTAATTCTGCTTCAAATGTTTATAACTTTACCTTTAACAACTTGTACCTTTTTTATAATATATTTTTATTTATATAGTCAAATAAAAATTTATTTGATTTAAAAAAAATGCTTACCTTTTAACCACATCACCACTTTATATCATCATATTATGCTTACATGTCTATAAAAACATGATGTGACAATATTTTAACACATGCTACCACTCCCTTCAGCCTTAAATTATCAAAACTACCAACATCATTGCTCTAATCATCAAGCTATCTATAAAACTCATTGACTTACTGATGAGATCATCTTATCCAAATTAATTTGAATTTATTGTTAAGATCATCTTGTATTTTGTCTGAATGAATTATTCTTTTCTCAAATTATGAGTTTTTCCTTTCTAATTTTGGATTTGAGTTTGGATTTGGTATATCATGTAACGTCTCAAAAATATGTAGTAAAATTTTTATTTTTAAATATAATAAAACCAATCTCAAAATCATTCCAAACCATAGGATAATCAAAAGATGAGTCTAAATTTCAAATCAAATATTAGAGTAAACATCATAAAAGTTAATAATGTTGAATCTCTATTGGATGTGATGCAATCAGATCGTGCTCTTTTCCTTGCTATCAGAACAACTTGAAACATATAAACTTAAAATCGTAAGCACAAAGCTTAGTGAGTTCCCCAAAACATCACATACATCACATAGCAATGGGCCCCGCCCTACGGATATATTTTAACTGGTGTGAACGTTATGTTCCCCCAATATTCTTACAATCACTTCCGTTACTGCAGTCCTCATATAGTTTTTCATGTTATGGTCTCACCATAGTCTTTCATGCAAAAGTCACAAAGACATTCTAGCATACCATAGCACTTAGTGT